TTGAATTGTTCGCCGCCCTGAGTCCTCCCGGAGAAGGGCGGCATACAAATAATACAATACAATACAATGCAATACAATAGATCACACACATAACTAATGTAGCTCATAATGTCAATATTTATATTACATCACTAGCTAGATTTTAAAAAAAAAGATTATTTGTATCCTTGAGAGAGAGAAAAAAGTGTAACACTGCCTTCATGTGCCTTATATTTCCTGTTGTGGAGACAGCATGCTGACTAGGAAGCTGCATTCAGTTATAAACCATGTGTAATTTGAAAAGCACAATACAGACCGTGTTACAAACATATCCTACTTACCAAGAGCAGCTGTTGACCTTGGCTCTTCCTTTATTGCACGCTTGGTACATATTATCCTCTCTAGATAGTTGTTATATGATAACGAGGAGCGTTCACGTCCATATGAGAGAGGGCCAGTATGTGTGGCTTGTCTATGCATGTATAAGTAACATATATGTCAAGTATACGAGATTCTCTCTGATTTCCAGCACCCAAACTGTTTCTAGAGAAAGATTACCATGAATAGTAGCCCATTTGTCTGGTTTATGTAATATTTATTTCACTTGGTTAGCATTTGTTTTCACTGGTATGACACATTGGCAAAACTAGCAAATAATACTGAAGATTAAAAATTGACCGCCTTTGTAAAGGTGTGAATCTTGACTTCTGCCTTTCGAAATTAGTAGTTGATTTTGTAATCCAGGTTTCATTTCAGAAGCACCTTCTTTTTTGTTTGTTTGATGGGGCTCAGTAGAGGTTTTTTGGGGGTCTTTCTTTGAGTAACAAAATTGGAAAGCTTCTTTTAGCTACTTCCATTTTGTATCCTCACGGCATTGCTGTGGTTGATTACGTGATGTAGTTGCTGTAGCAGGGTTGATAAACTACTAAAGGAAGCTTAAGAATGTTGATTCTTAATTCCAACTGTGCAGGCCACTAAAACACAAATTTGCAAAGTACACTTTAAAAGAGACCCGTTTCAAAATTAAATCTCCCCTTTGTGGATGGCCTGCATTCAAAGGCAACTGATGAAACGTGCTTGTTTTTAATTTCTTACTGTGCTTAATGTTTGGGAAGTAATTCCTTTCTCGTCCCTCTCTCCTTTTCTTTGTAAAATTTATTTCTAGTACTCAGTATTTTTTTTTTCCTTTCATGGGTCTGGGTGTGGACAATTTACTAACTATGTAGACTCTGGATTTATTGTTAATTTACTATACATTAACTTTTATTGAATACTTACCTTGGTAAACATTGATAGTATGGTTATTGAGATACCCTCTTCTGATTATGTTTGAGCACATTGAGACCATGTAGAAACCTTAGATTTGGTGTTAGTTCATCAGGCTAGAAACTGGGAGGGGGTGATTGTGATTTCTACTTCCATTTTAGGCACAAAGCCAGCTGAGTGACCTTGGGCTAGTGACTGGTCATTCTCTTTCAGCTTTAGAAAGGAGCCAATAGCAACTTCTGAACAACTGCACAAACTAGTCCTGGCAGTTGTCAGGAATCAAAACTGACTCGAAGGCACACACAAACGCACACAATTAACTCTAGTTAATCATCATTGGTAATAACCCCATCATTGGTACAATAATATTTATGGCCGTGCTCTATATTTAACACCCTTCAGAGTATTAACCCAGCCTAGTTTGGAAACTATTGTGCAGAAACATTCAGCAAAAATCGGTACATTTTAGAAACATACATCTCCGTGGATTCAGAATAAGTAGAAATTGAATAGATTTAACATCCTTCCAGTTTCAGATACAGTGGTCTGCTGAATTTCTGTCATTTAATTGTTAAAAACAAAAAGAACTCGGCAGAAATTGTGTGAATTGAATGCCAGAAGTTGAGAATGGAGACAGGACATCTGGAAAGAGAAACCGGTTTTTTTTAAATGCAATTTGAACAACTTTTTTCATGCAAAAATGAATGGAATTGCTTAGTGCAATTAGTATGTGTTTATGTATATGTATGTATATGTGTGTGTGTGTGTGTGTGTGTGTGTATGTATGTATATATGTATATATGTATATATATATATATATGTATGTATGTATGTATGTATGTATGTATGTATGTATGTATGTTGTATTTGTGCTGATAAATAAATAAATATTTGAGC